GCAGTGCCGCACTTCCACAGGATGTGCCTTTTGCTTCCTACGGTATGTCATGTAGTTGGAAGATGTTGGAAGAGTGGGCCGTCCATCTCCTCCAGTAACCAACATTTATACAGCTGGTCTAGAAGAAGTGCCATCTTTACTAGCCTTGCCCAGAGTTTGATCGAGTTGTTACTTTTCCGCTGAAGCAAACTTGGCAGGACGACATCCCTTCCTTGGCTTTCGATTGATGTGCTTTGCGGGCACTCCCTTTGCAGGGGTCAGTGGGCTGCCAACCCTTTGCAAAGATGTTGAAGCATCCATAAATTGGACACACTCTGAAAAGGCAGACTTCCAACAGAGGCTGAAGGACCCTATAGCCTATCCCATAGGTACCCCAGGTAACAGGTCCTATTTACGGTCACTTAACCTCTCCTGGTTGGGAGTCTAGTGGAGAATCGGGGGTTGTTCTCACAGACTTCCGATTTCTCCACAGACTTTCCGTCAGCCATACGCAGCTCGGATCACCTGCGGAATCGGATGCGGAATCCATTCGGCCGCATCCTGGCGGATGTTCAGGGCAAAGTCTCCCGGAACAAAGCCGAGGGAGAAGAGCGCTTCTGACGCTGGTGGCCACGCGGGTGCAGGAGGGAGGTGTTTGGATGACTCTCTTGGGTCCACGGTTTGTTTCAGAGCTATGGCAGCTAGACGACCTGCTTGCTGCTTCGCCTTTCAATACACATTCTCTGGGATCCTTCCTCACACATGAACAAGTTGAAGAAGATGATAACAATTTGAGAACCTTTCTACTCAGGGCAGCTGACAGAAAACAAACAGCAGAACAACTGAAGAAAGGTGGGAGGACACTGATGTTGGCAGTCTGATGTTGGCGTAATATTAGTTGTCCTTACCATCCATTTTTCTGGCATAGGACTGCCGCCCCAGCCAGACCCCCCCTGGCACCACCCCTGGCCTGATTGGCAGTCCTATGGCAGTCTGCAACGGATTCGGTCATGAGCTCCTGCATGGATAACATGGAAACCTCACCATACTCACACATGACCGTGTTTGTTGGCTCAGGGGCCCCTTTTTTCTAGCTCACGACTTGAGCACCTTGGTGCTGACGCGCGCCTGCCATAAATCGGTGCTTTGTGTGCCGTGCCGCTTCGACTTCGTTCGATCGAGCCCAACCTTTCGTGTTTGACGCTCTTGCGCCGCTTCGCTGGATTGGCAGCGGAGCACAAGCTCCGGGGCCTGACGGCCGGTGCTCCCTCCTGAGGAGCTTGGCATTGGTTGTTGCCTGCTTGCCTTCCTCTTAGGTGCCACTACTTGTTCTTGGAGCTCTACGACTTTGGTCTTGGCACCTGGCTTGCTTGGTTTGGCCCTGCGCCTTTGGCTCATTGGGAACTACTTGGTTGACGCCTTCCTTGGTGCCTCAACTTGCTCTCCGAGCTCTTTGGCGAGTTCACTTGTGGTTCAGGCATTTTGCCTGGCATGACGGAGAAAGACTCCGGACATCATGTCCCATCCTGGGACGGCAGTGCAAGGACGTGGAGGAAATACCATCGCGAAGTGAGCTGGTATGTCCGATCCACGCCAACACACAAACGGCGATACTGCGCTCATCGCCTTGTGGGACGCCTCACTGGTCCTGCAAGGCTACTTGCTATGTCATGGACATCCGTCAGCTTTGACCATGCTGGCGGAACTCGAGATTTCGTGCGCAGGTTGGCATCCTCTCCACTGGTGCGGCAATCGCTTCCCAATGCAGCTGCGATCTGCCAGCAATACTTTAGCTTCCGACGAAACAGTGGAGAAAGCATGCAGCGCTTCCTTGTCAGAGAGGCTTTATGCTATGCTGAGTTCAGTGAGGCCATCATTAGACTCTATGAAGAGAAGAATGGCATCCAGCAGCACGATCTGGACTTCGACCTCCCGCCAGATGATGAGGAGTGGGAACAAGAGGAACCATGGACCAGTTGGGGCTACGAAGATGAGGAGACTCAGACCTCACCTGTGGGCTCCACCCATGCTGCTGCTGCTGATAGTGGTTCGCCTCACGGGAACTATGCGCGTGTGGCTTCATCGTCTTCACCTTCGAGGCATTCAGCTGGAGTTCAATGGGACCTCCCTGGTGTTACAGAGTTGAGCCTGGCTGACAGCTTCGTCCTTGGTGTCCTACGTGGCTTCCGTCTCTTGCAGGCCTCCGGACTGTCACCAGATGACATGCGAGACATCATCAGCACAACCAAGGGCAGCCTCGAGTTCGAGGTTGTCACTAAGGCCCTACAGACTCTCTGGGACGACCAATTGGTCGGACGTCGCCATGCTGGTGGTTGGTCTCCTTCAAAGACCCATGAGGCCATGTTTGAAGAAGCAATCTCACCTTCTGATGATTGGTGGGATGACGCCAACGTGGCCCAGTACGATGACAACTATGATGACTGGTGGCAAGATGATGAAGAATGGGGCTATGCCATCGAGGAGCACGAGGGCACGAAGGCTTCTGAGGAAGATGACGATGCGATAAAGGAGGCCCAGAAGGCAGAGCAGATTGCCGAGGGCTTGGCAATGGAAGCCCAGCGTTCATGGGCTGAAGCTCAACGTGCCACTCAGGCACTTCGGAAAGATCGCGGGTTCGGACATGTGATTGGAGGAGGCAAGGGGTCTTCTCCCACCAAGTGCTGGACCTGCGGCGGCCCGCATTTCTCCCGAGACTGTCCCGATCGACGGCATCCCTCTGTTGGCAAGGGCAAGGGCTGGAAGGGTCACTACATGACTGACGAGCTCTACTACATGAAGGGGAAGGGCAAGAAAGGCAAGACTGCCTCATGGATGGAACTTCAAGCTTTCCAAAAGGGCAAATCATCCAAGTCCGGCAAGGGCAAAAAGGGGACCATGTCACGACCTTCCGTCAATGCCTACACCAACGAGCTTTTTGGTTTAGAGTTTTCTGGAGCCTTGGATGTCCATTCAGCGACATCACCTGTGGCTACCATGGCACCTCACATGGGCCTTATCGACTGCGGAGCAACGGCTTCTGCCGGGCCACAGATTGCAGTCGAGGCCTTGGTCTCATCCATTTTGACCAAGGACAGTCAAGCGTCCGTGGAGGTATACAAGAATGCTCGTCCGTTCTTTCGTTTCGGCAACGGTGGATGGGGTCGTGCACTTTATCAAGTGGTTCTCACGAGCACTGTCACCGGGAGTGCTCGCACCTTCAAGTTGTTTGCATTGCCAAATCCCCCAAACCTACATCACCCGGACTTTGACAGGAACACGTTGGTGCCCATTCTCATTGGCATGGACCACTTGTCAGGTAACCCTTCAGCTATGTTGGTGGATTTTCGAACAGGTTTGGCCATGGATTCCTATGCACTACATCCCCAAGAATATCAACTACCATGCAATCGGAAGGGTCACTATATCATGGACATTGTTGAGTACCTCACCATGGGTCAAACCAGGTCCACTGGACATCCACGGGTTCGGGTTTCTGCAGATGTGAGTCATGCATGTCACACCTTGGAGTTCCACCCTGTTGAGTACTATGACATGTCAGTTTTTGATGCACACCATGTTCATGAGAGTCAGCTTCAACAGTCACGTGCACTCCTTTTTCAACTTCATCGGAGCAGCTTGAGCTTGCATCCCTTTGATCACCGTGCAGCCCTGGCTTCAATGCATCGCTGCGGAGAAGCTGATTCCAATTCGCTTCCCGCTTCCCCAGCTTCGACTCTCGACCATGGCCCGGCGAGCTCCACGCGCCAGCGAGCTGGAGGAAGAGGGGATCCAGTGGGACATCCGCTCAGCCACGGACAAGAAGGCCACACCGCAGCCGTTCGACGACAAGCGGACCGTGCTGGCAGATCCGAGGGATCCTCGAACCGATCCCGGCCAATGGCCATGCTTTGGACAACATGTCCCAATGAAGGCTCATGCCAATCCGCACGGCCGCTGGGTTCACTGCAGCACGTGCAACCTTCGCCTCCAGTACACTCCACGAGTGGGCTCACATGGTCAAAACACCAAGACCGACAGTCCACCCTTGACGATCAAGATGCTCACACAGCTGTACGAGGTGATGGGAGGACGCACTCCGACGGCCACGATCTGCCTCCTGATGCAGAAGAAGATCGATGCCGACGAGGCCCTGCAGGGAATGGTCGAACCGGTGTTCCAACGAGTGCCTCAGCTGAGCGAGAAGCCTCCCTTCTACGACAAGGAGATGACCAAGGTCAAGAAGGGCAACAAGAAGAGCAGCCGCGACACGAGCCCGGCTCCATCATGGGACAAGGTGGGAACTCCTCCGACATCACCACCTTCGCATCGCATTGGGTCGAACTTCAGGACTACATGGACCCGAGCGAGATGGAGCATTTGATGAAGATGCTTCAAGAGCGCAAGGCAGCAGCCAAGCTGGCTGTGGACATGGAGACTGGATCCGGGAGCCTGGCATCTGCCTACGAGCAGGAAGCCAAGTCAGCGTGAAGACTACATCACGGAAGAGTGCTACAGGCCCTTTGAAGAGCTCTATGATGGGCAGCCCTGGCACTTCATCCCGGAAGAAAATGACACAGGCTTCTCCGAGCACTACACCATCTTCCAAGAGTGCTACTACCAGTTCATCCAGTCCTTCTACCAAGATGCCTATGCCTCTGCCCTTGAAGATCGGCGCTAAGCTGCTGCTCCTAGCTACGACCTTGTTGAGCTCTATGGCAAGTGCAACTATGAGTCTCTGTTTGGGAGACAATGATGGCATTTGGGAGATTGCATGTGCTCCCCACAGTTGGCTGTCGGAAGCATGCCAACGTCAAGGACTTCAACCTCGCCGCATCAATCTTGAACAAGGCTATGATCTCTACAGGAAAGAGACTTGGGAGCGAATGAAAGTCCTTCGATCTAAGAAGAAGCCACGGAAGCTTTGGTTCAGCCTTCCTTGCACAAAGTTCTGCCGTTGGACCTACCTCAACTATGCTTCACGCCCTGAAGAACTTCGGCAGGCTCGCAAGAAGGAAAGGAAGATGCTTTGGTACATGAACGACTTTGTGAAGGACACCCTTTCCAAAGCTCCCGACACCAAGATCTACTTCGAGTGGACTCATCCCTGTCAAGGGTGGCAAGAACCTCCAATGGTCGACCTCGAGACCTTCCTAGCAGCCTTGGACATTCCCTGGCTCTCATGCCGCATCGATGGCTGCGTCTATGGCATGATGGACTCTCGAGGTGAACATCATCTTCACAAGAAGTGGCTTGTCAAGACCACCTGTGAACACTTCCATGCCACCTACAAGACTAAGGTATGCCATGGAGGCCACTCACACACCTTGATTCAAGGCGCCGAGACCGCCAAGAGCGCCTACTACCCTTGGAAGCTTGTCCAGTCCTGGGCACGATTCTGGAGAGCTGAGATGGTGTCTGATCGCAATCTTCGGCTCCTCTTCATGAAGCAGGACTCACCTGCTGCATTGGAGAATGAAGAGCTCTACCTCCTTGCCGACGATGACGGTGGCACCCTCAATGCTCTTCCTGCTGAAGAAGCCCTACAACCAGTGGAGGTTCCTTCTGAACAAGAAAAGAAACAATGGATGGCAAGGGTAGCTCACTTCCACAAGGCAGCTGGCCATCCTACCAACAAGAACCTGGCCAAGCTGATCAAGAATGCCGGTCAGCCAGCCTGGAAGTCTGAGCTGGCTTTGGAACACAAATGTCCGGCCTGTGAGGCCATTCGACCTGGCGGCACTTCCAGCAAGAACATTCCACCGGCGAGCACTCACTCTATGTGGAGTGCATGGCAAGCTGTTGGCATGGACACCGCAGAATGGCAGATTCCAGCCACCAAGAACAAGGTGAAGTTCGTCCTCATGATGGATCTGGCTACGAAGCTTCGTGTGGTTTGGCCCATCATGGAGTACCCCAACATGGAGATGCGAGCTGAAACTGCTGACCACATCATTGAAGCCTTCACTGAGCGCTGGCTCTCCGTCTTCCCAAAGCCTGAGATGGTGATAGTTGACAATGGTAAAAGCTTCACCTCTGATCGCTTCAACACCTTCCTGCGGGAGTCCAACATCGCCGTGCACTACCCTCCTGAGAAGGAACCCTGGGCACATGGCATCTTAGAAGCTGGCATCCAGGACATCAAGCAAGTGGCAACCGTCCTCCACATGGAGCAACTGGACCTTCGGCCGGCTCATACATTGGTTCTGGCCACTTCAGCTCTGAACCAAACTGAGTACACTGCTGGGTACTCTGCTCAGCAATGGGCCTTCGGGAAGCACTATTCCCTGACCGATGAGGACCACCGCACGTATGAGCAGGTGGAACCTTCAACTGACTTTGCACGCCTCGTTCAAGCCCGACAACAGGCTGAAGAGATCGCTGTGAAGACCAGGTCAAAGAGAGTTCTGAGCAAGCTCTCCAACACTCTGGTTCGCCAGCCCTTGAGAACTTTTTCTCCTATGCAGCTGGTCAAGATCTGGCGACAATTCCAACCAGCTGATCAACACAAGGGCAGCCGTGGCGGCTTCAAGAAGTCTGGACGACCTCATTGGGTTGGCCCTGGCAGAGTTGTCTTCCAGGAGGTGCTACCACATCAAGAAGAAGGTGATCCTCGCCGACACATCCTGTGGGTACTCATCGGGAGTCGCATCTACAGATGCTCAGTCCACAGCGTTCGGCCAGTGACCGAGGTTGAGCGCCTCCAGTACGAGATGACAGCCGATGAAGATCCCACCAAGTGGAAATCCTTGGCAGACATCCTGCCCAAGCGAGAGTTCACTGACCTCTTGGATGAACTCCCAAAGGAGGACGAGATTGAAGTCCCGAACCTTCCGTTCTCTCCGGATCCTTCGACCTATGCTCCAATACGACGAGCCACTGGCAAGTCTACGCTGCAGCCCTCCGACTACAAGCTGAAACACCGCAGCAGTCCATTGGGACTACAACCTCCAGATCGTGAAGTACAACACTTTGTACCTCCTGCTCACGCTTCGAGCTCGGCACGGCCCTCCAACTCGGCCCTACCAGAGGCTGAGGAAACTGCCAATGACTACGAAGACTACACCCCGAGTCTTCCTGATGCCGCTGCTGATGAACCTCCTGAAGATGAACCACAACCTTCAGAGAGAGATCCCAAAAGAGCTCGCAGTGAGTACGATCTGAAGTGGGTGGAGGAGCTGAAATCTCACTCTGAGATTGACAACAATGAAGTCTTCAGCTACCTCACCGAATGTCAAGATGACTTGGACGTCTTGGTCATGCACATCGATGTGGAGCCTGAGACTAATACCGAGAAGAAGGCTCTTCTTCGGAACCCCGTCCTCTACATGGCCAAGAAGTTGAACAACTCTGAAGTGTCCTTGCAGCGCCTGAGCAACCTCGAGAAGGTCCTCTTCCAGCGTGCCAAAATGAAGGAAGTGAACTCCTTCCTCAAGAACAGTGCAGTCCGCAAATGTTTGGACGATGCGGAGGTCCGCGAGGCCTATGGCAGTGGCAGGATCTTGAAGGCCAGGTGGGTCCTCACGTGGAAACCTATCCCACCTGATGAACGTGATGAAGCACTACAAGACAGCCACAACAACCCGGACACGGTGGTGAATCCTCAGGCCACCAAGAAAGCCAAGGCTCGCATCGTACTCCTTGGTTTCCAGCATCCAAGCTTGATGGACAGGAACTTCAAAACAGCTGCACCTGTCCAGAGCGGACTTGGAAGATCGCTGCTTTACTTCCTCTCCGTGGTCAACCAATGGGAGATCTGCGGCCTTGATCTTGCGACCGCCTTCCTGCAGACGCAACCGACTGAAGCCGATCAACGGCTCTGGACATCAGGAGTCTCTGAACTTAAGGAGGCCATGGGGCTACCTCAAGACGCTCTCCTTCGCATCTTGCGCAATATATCAACAACAGCTCCAAGAGGTCTATGGCTCGACCTGCACAAAACTCTTGTTGGCCTTGGCGCAGTCCCTGCTGTTGGCGAGCGATGCCTCTGGCTTTGGTTCAGCAAGCATGAAGTTGACCCGGTGACCTCGGCTCCCGTTCTGCTCGGCGCGATGGGAGGACACGTGGACGACTTTCACAGGGTTGGCAACAACAAGTCACCTGAGTGGGTTGAGATTTGCCAGAAGATCGACAAGGCCTACCAGTGGGGCACGATCAAGCGACGGTCGTACCGTCATGCTGGCACTGACATCAACACCATCGACCAGGCTGACGGCACCTTCCGCATTGAGATCGATCAGGACGCCTACATCGAGGGCATACCTGACCTGGAAGTCTCTGTGCAGCGCCTTCGCACTCCTGATCAGGCACTCACGCCTCAGGAGATTGCCTCTTGCCGAACGGCACTTGGATCCTTGCAGTGGTTGGCCATCCAGACGCAACCACAACTATGTTCCCGGTGCAACCTTCTCCTGACGGAGATCTTGGTTGAGGGCACCACCACACATGCAAGAGAGATCCAGAACATGATCAGCGAGGTCCGTGTCCAACCTCAGCGGCTTCGCTTCTTTCGACCTCCCAAGGTGAAGCATTGGTCCGACGTCATCGTCATCACCATGGGAGACCAGGCCCACAGCAACAGGCCAAAGGGCGACAGCACGGGAGGAATGATCTCCCTCCTGGCTGGTCCTGACAGTTTGTCAGGCGATGTTTCACCGATGGTCCTTTTGACGTGGAAGACATGGAAGTTGAAGAGAAAGGCCATCGCCTCCAACGATGCTGAAGTGCAGGCAGTCCTGGAGTCAGAGGACAGCAACTTTCGAGCACGCCTGCTGTGGTCTGAGATCAACGGAGCAGGATTCCACCATCGAGACCTTCGAAGAGATCTGGTGGCATCCTCCGAGCTCCAGGCCATGAAGGTGAAGGGAGTTGTCTGCACCGACAGCCGTGGTGGCTACGACGCTGTGGAGACCAACGAGAGCCCGCTTTTGGGGCTCACGAACATGAGGGCAGCGCTCCAGGCCTTCCAACTTCGCGAGAACTTGCGAAGATGTGGCAGCGAATTGAGGTGGCTCGCTTCGGACTACGACTTGGCCGACTCCATGACGAAGAAAAAGGCCGATAGTCGTGAAGGCCTCCTCAAATTCATGGCCACCTGGCATTGGACGATCGCTTACGATCCCAACTTCGTGGCGGCCAAAAAGAACAAGAAGCTGGGCCTGACGGCAGTCGACAAGATCGACAGAGCTCTTCGGCAAGCTGATGCGCTGTGCTCGACGACCGCTTTTGAGATGATGCCGGAGCCTCCTGAGCCTGTAGCTTCAGTGATCGCTGAGGACCGATCACTGATGTCCTCTTTTCCCCGTGCAACGGATTCGGTCATGAGCTCCTGCATGGATAACATGGAAACCTCACCATACTCACACATGACCGTGTTTGTTGGCTCAGGGGCCCCTTTTTTCTAGCTCACGACTTGAGCACCTTGGTGCTGACGCGCGCCTGCCATAAATCGGTGCTTTGTGTGCCGTGCCGCTTCGACTTCGTTCGATCGAGCCCAACCTTTCGTGTTTGACGCTCTTGCGCCGCTTCGCTGGACAGTCCCATGGAGTGTTTGGGATTGAGATCTATCCGACACGACCTTTGTTGCTCTCCTCCACCCTGTGGCCCAGCCCAGCCAACTGCTTCACCCAGTCTTCGACGCGACTCGCGACGCGACCAAAAAACGCCGAGCGAAGGGCGCGGAAAGCGCGGGGGAAAGCGACCTTGGCCGGGGGGGGTGTCCCACCCAGGGGCCGCGCGTTCTTTTTTGCAAAGCACTTTCTTCAGGGGGTGAGTGAGACTGATCTTGAACCCGGGGATTGATTGGTAGAAATAGATTAGGTTCATGGGATCCTCACGCAAAATGAGGATCCAAGGATCAGGTTTTGAGCGCTGAGCGCCTTGGAACAACGGGGCATGGACTTCGTTCTGCGTCGACTGGACTGGCAACTCTGACCCGTTTGGGCTCCAGTCGTACCTCCTCAGGTATGACTGGACCCGACACTGGCACCCACCCCAGTCTCACCGAACCGAAACGAAGGTACGACTGGAGCCCTGGGGTGACTCATGCTGGTGAAGAAAGAGCCATTTCTCTCAAGACCCTTCCTTCGAATGGTGCTGCAGAGGGGGATGTGTGGGGGATGTATGTAAAACGATAGACCAACGTGCCCTTCCGTTTGTTTGGTGTGTTTTTGAGTGACCCTTGACTTATATAGAAATAGAGTGGACAAAAAGAACAAAAAGTATTATACAAGTACAGCCACAGATACATTCACATGGTGAAATTCACCTGGTTCTGAGATGTTCTGAACGTCTTGTGTTCCTTTTAATGGTCACTTCCTTGTGGCGGCCAGGCGCTTGGCGCCATGACCCTCCCTCAGCTTGCACCGGCCGAACTCTGCCGGTCAACGGCCACGCACCGAGGGGAAAGCCATCATCGTGGACACGGCTGGGGAGCGGAGCTGGCGGAGCTGGGAAGCGGGGATGGTCCAGCAGGGAGAACAGCTCCCAGACCATCCATGGGACTGGAAGATTGACATAGATGAACTCCCCAAAGTCGCCCCTGAGGTCGGCGGATCCCTCTCCTTCTCTCTATGTTTGTGTTTGTTTCGTCATGTTTTGGTGACACCTTGATGACACCTGGTGAGCACTGAGACAGTTGTCAGCTGGCAAGCATGCCGAATGAAGCGGAATGAAGGGGTCCGAAGCGTCAATCATTGAGGAGCCGGGGGACTCCAGCAAGTCATCTGGAACTTCAGCTTGATCGCTTTGACCCTACACTCCCTCCCTATAGAATTCATTTCAACCTCATTCTACTGGACTTGATGATACCCCCCCCCACCAAACAAAAAGAACGCTACACTACGAAACATGAGGTGTTCAATGGTTTTCAGGTTTTGGGGTTTTGGACCTGGGTCCGGCCTGAAAGAAATCCATGGTTTCGTGGTTACACCTGGGACCGGTCTTCGGCTTTTTTCGGGGGGCCATTGTCCCATCCACGTGGATTGAGAGAAGATGGCACACTCCCCAATGTCGGTGGTTGATATGGAACCCCATCTCAAAGACATCTCGGGGTGCCAGTGCCATTTGCTGAAAACCCACTAACCATGGATGACTTCGGGGTGTACTGCCCGGGGCGCTAAAAAACATGTCCTTCGCCACTGCACAGAAGATGAAGTGACGAAGGACATGTCCACAGTCCTGGGAAGTTCCGGTGACATCGGAAGACTCCGGATTCGATGTTTCTAGGAGGAATTATATGCTCCCATAGGTTTCGCATGGAAGTAGAACAAAGCCTCTTTGTAGAACATGATGTTCTTAGGACCTGCATGGTTCATGGACTTATGATTGGTGGGTGACGTGTGCGATATACTGAACCGCACTTGGCTAGTTAGTTTTGTGTCCTTCCACAGTCTTCATCACTCAAACGAAGGTTTGGAAGTTGTTTTGATGATGTTTCTTTACCAGGTGGTTGGTGGCGTGTGATCGTGTGTAGGAGTGTAACAGGTGTATCCAAATAAAGTGGTGATCATGCTTTGTCTGTGTGTGTGTCATGCTTCCAATTCATCACTTGCTTCACGCCAACATGGCTCTGAAGGTCTCATACTAATTACTGCTGCAAGCAGAGATTGGTAGAGGTAATCTCACTGGAGGGGTTGGAGGTTTTTCGGGCAGACATGTTCTGTCAGAGCCAAACTACATTTTCTCTTAAGTCCCCTAAGAACCCTTTACAAAACTCTAAAGGGCCTTCGCGAGCAACACCCACTGAGCGCTCTCTCCTCCGACCAAACTAGCCTCAAACCACGAGTGAACATCCTCTACACTCCAGGGTGACACTAACTGGGTCAAGTCCATATGGCTTGCTGACTTGGGGACTTCATAGATCAACAACTCTTTTGGGCCAACCGGCCAAGAAGGTCCAGCTGACAGGAGTTGAACCATTTGCAGTTCGAAGCCTGAATGAATCTAGCAGGCAAGTCTTTGCCCAAAACGTTTGTGTAGAGAATGCATCTATATGGTTCTCCCTACCGTGGGGCGAAGCTTTAGAGATCGACTTCAAAGCTTAAAGCTTGTGGTCTGTGACTGCAAAACTTCTGTGGCCTTTGGGTGCTCCAAAAATGCTTTCCCACCCATTCATTGCTCCCTGAGACTTCCCACCATCGGGTCCTTCGCCCGTTCAGGCCATGCCTCCACCCACCAGCCTGCCGGGGGGCCTTGTTTCAGCGGAGCGGCGGAGCGCCTCTGGGTGAACATGTACGCAGATACACATGGAAACTGATGGCGTGGACTTATTGCAAGGAAATCAAGGAAGACTTCTTTCCGAACTTCTTTCCTCTACTACTGTACAAACCGGGCGTGGTTTGTAGAGGTGCCATGTGCTTTTCCAGAAAGTGGTGAAGCATGGTCAACCACGCTGTGGACAGAACGACTGGGCACTGAACTTGGAAACACAGGAAAGAGAGTGCTGGTACACACAGGGATGCCATGATGTGTGTTTTATATTGTTTTATCTTTTTTTCCGACAGCTGATTCGATGTATGCCGGGTCCCATCTATATACAAGGCAAAGCAATGCCTTTTTCGCGCATGCTTCAAGTCGGCCTTTGCTTGGTCTATGCCTGTGCCGACTCCCTCGGCGCTTGGGGTTTTGTGGGGTCGGACGCCTTTCCGTCGAAGTTGGTTGGCGTCCTGGGCAGTGCGCCCAAAGCCTCCGACCAGTCCCCCCTGCTGCACCAAGTGTCTCTCTCGCTCTCTCTCCCTCTCTCTCTCTCTATGGGGATCCAAGTACCTCTTCAGAAGGTGGGCAGGGAGATATTTATAGTTATTTATATATGTAGGCGCCAGGAGGGCCCAAGTACCTTCTGAAAAGGTATGTGGTTCCATAGGGTCTTGCTACTTTTGCCCAGTCTCTTGCCCTTGCCCTTATTGTTCTCGAAGCATTGTCCTTCTCAGCATCGTGGCTGCAGGTGAAAGTCGGACATTGGGGTCTTGAGATACTCCAAGGGCCCAGACACTCCATGGAACTGCCATATATGCCGATCAATTGACCCCCCAAACCACCCCAATGTTGGCATATGTATGCATATATGGCAGTCCCATGGAGTGTCTTGAGATACTTTGGCATCAATTGGTACTAGTTGCTGGTATCGTGAGATACGGGGAAAGGCACTGAGGGGCCATGAGGAGGAAAAGTGTCGGCCTGAAGCGTTGGTGAATGCGTGAAGCGTCCTGCCCCAATTGGTCACATGGTAGGAGCCCAGGAGCCGGACCCTTGGCCACGAGCTTGCAACAGTCAGTCAGGACCAAGAACTGCAACATAAATTAAAGGTAGGTTTCACGGATTCCAGATGATTCCAGGAATGATGTTCTTGGCACAGAGGAGCGCCTCTAGTGCTTGCCATCCATCAGCTCAGGGAGCGTCTTCTCGGGCTTCTCGGGTGGCCCCACCCACCGGTCCCAGCCACCGCTCAGGACGGATCATCGTCGTCGGCCGCGGGTAGTGCAACCGCCCAAAGAGGAGGAGAGCACGCGCCGCGCCGTACGGAGGGTGCGACGGAGGTGTTGGTGGGAGCCCCCAGGACTGAACGATGAACGGCTGGAACGGTGTGGGACAAAACGGTGAGGAGTGTTCCAGTATACCCAGACACGACCCATGGGACTGCCATATTTACCTACATTGGGGTGGTTTGGGGGGTTAATTGATCGGCATATATGGCAGTTCCATGGACCTGGAGTGTTCCAGTATAGATGATGTTGAAGACGGCTCCTGAAACAAGAGTTGTGCAGAAGACCAAGTCCAGTAACATCCAGGACTCTAGCAAATGGTGAGGAATCCTAACAGTTTGGTTGGCAGACCTCAATCGACTGCCCACGTTGCCCAACACAACATGTCCATCCATTTTTGCCATTGTTCAGCTCATTTCATGTATCATTCCCAGCGAAGCTCTCGCAAAACCACGCTTCGAACACGTCCCCGTTGATGAAAAATTGTGAATCTCAAGGCTTGTTGGCGCAAAATTCAGCACTCGCAACTCTGAACTTGAAGAATTTTGTGGTCATCTTGGGCAACCCTCCTACGCCTAGTAATTAAAGGCCAATCGGTGCCGTTGGTGAGGCGGTTTGTTGAGATAGTTCAGCAAATGCAGAAGGCAGTTGATTCATTGATGTTGATAGTGTTGATATATATAGTGAGCTCGAGAAAACAGTGCAAAAACAGTATTGATGATCTTTTGCGCATTCCTTGGTTGCGATCTACAGCCATAGACCAGCACCGACCAGCTTGGTTGGTCTATAAAGCCACCTGACTCATCCGCTCACCATCCGTTCACCATCCAGTCATCCGAACTGGGTGATTGTGCCATGTTGGCTTTTCTTCAACGATACCGACCGGTGTTTACCTATGATGTCAGTCGTTCGCGGCCGGTGGACTGGTGGGGCTCCAAACTGGGTCATGATCCATTCCCATAGCATGGTTTTCATGGTCGGGCAAGCCGGACTCGTCTGGCTTCAGGAGCCAGGACCCATCGAGTGAAGTCTGGAAAGACCAGTTCCAAGGGTTCAGATCCCACTTCAGATCCCACTAAATTGGGATCCCACTGAAAGACTGAGTGGGGAAGACTGAGTTCAGATCCCACTTCAGATCCCGCTGATTTGATATGCAGATCCCGCTGGCTGCGGGTCCTTGGAGCCATTTCGGCTCGTCCGCTGCCCGCTTGACTGAGCGCTTTCGGTTCTCCTCGTCCCGTGCCAAGGAAGAAGAAGCACTGGAGCGGGGAAACGGAGGAGGCTTGATGAAAGTATAGGATGTGTCCTTTCTACTAGTAGATGGTCCACTAAACTTGAAAAGCTCGATCATTAATGATGCATCCATGGTTTTTTCTGGTTGTATGTGAGATTGTTTTCATGCGCGCCCATGCGACTCTTCTGCATATTGCAAAGATGCATCGACACGCAGGAGGTTCACATTGACCAGTGGCTTTGTTCCTCCAACTCTCTGGGTTTTTGTTGCAAACATCAACTCCCAGGAGTCACAAAGGAATTGTGGGTGTGTCATGGGCTTTTCGTCGTCAGGATGGACTTGGAGTTTTGCCCATGTGGAGACCGGGCAGTTTTCGAGCCGTTTCAGAGTAGATGGCGCAATATCCACAAGGTGGTTTCTGATGGACCCCCCCTGTTTTACAGACATCTTTGGGTGCCAGTGCCATCATCTACTCTGAAACCTAGAGCTCCAAGTATCTTCTAAGAAGGTGTTTGAGGTGGATTCGGAGGGTCCAGTCATACCTTCTGAGGAGGTACGACTGGAGCCCTATAGAGATTAAGGGCTTCCCATTGCTTCTGTCGACAGCCCCCCGCGGAACGAAGCACGGTCAGCCGACAAGTCGTGGAGTCGGGCGCGCTCTTGCCGAGGTGACCCCCAGACATGCGGCTTGGAGGACAGAGGATCGAACCTCACATGGAACCCCTTTACCAAGCACGCCCGGTTGGTATGGGCCGAACATGATCTTCTACCACCCAGGGCCGATGCTCCATGTGATCGTCTGCGGAGGGGGGGGGTAGAATCGCCCGTTTGCATCCTGGCGCCATCAAGGCCGGTTTCATCACGCCGGTTCTGTGGTCAGGCGGCTGGTCCCCGGGTTAAAGACTCACGGCTTGGCATCTCATATCCACCAGTCAACCTGGGAGAGTTGGCCGCTTTTTTTTCCCAGCAGGGCGGATTTTTAGACGTCGTTTTTGTTCACCTGGAGCCTGAGTGACCGGTAGTTTTGCACCAAGCACTCAACATATGGTCTCTTCCTATCAACACCGAGGTCGCTCAGGCTCTCATATATATATATATATATTAACCGATACAACTATATAAATAGGAATGCTTTTCGGATCAATGAGAGAAATGGCACCTCCAGATCTGGAGTTCCAGCACCCAGTAGGGTGTTGGAGTGTCTCGGAAAGGAAAGGAGCCTTCACACAGCAGTTGGCCCCAGAAACTCTTCCAAACCCTGTCCACCACGCCCCCACCAAAACATAACAGAGGAAAAGAAGAAAACGGCTTGGGCTTAGAGAATCAACAGCCAGGAGTTGCTGCAATTTCAATATTCGATGACTTTATACTGTAAGATGTACTGTATCCTCCGTCATGTGTGTGCGCTGCCCATCTCCGCCAGGGCTATTCTCACGAACTGGTGGCATCAATGTGACATCCAAGATTGGAAAAAAAGGAACCTCCTACAAAAAAGGAACCTCCTCAAATCCTGTGAGCGCCTTCTGTTTTGGTGGGTGCCGGCTTCGTCCATCCCAGCGAGGTTCGCCTGTTGCTGTGCAGCGAGCACTGGGCCAGAGGAAACCTTTGAGGCGAGTCGGGCCGGTCGGAGGTTGGAAGAGGTGGGGGTAGGGGAGACATCCTTGGTCCTTGTGTGCGTGGTGAGTCTCAAGGCATCCTTTTTGGAGAAAACCAGCGGAACTCCAGGCCAGCCTAACGGATGAGAGAAGAGAAGAGAAAGAGAGAGAGAGAGAGTTCTGGCTGGAAACAAACCCAAGCAAGCAACCAAGCGATAAAACCATTTGTTTGCAAAGATCTCAGCGTGGAACAGCAATTTGGTTCTCGTTGTTTGGGCGTCCAGAATGGCATGTTTGACCATATGCTGCTGGTAGTTCCCATTTATGAGCCACAGTCAAAATCATAGCGGTCAGGTTTTATATACATATATGTTTATAAAATTGATCATTTGGTGAGATCTTGCAGAATCTTGCACATTCCTTGGAAAACGATCCCGGAAAACCAAAGACGAAGCCTCTTGGTGGGATGTTTGCATGTGTACCCTCTTGGAGTGCATAAAATGTGGTGCCTCCAAACGAAGCCAAAACGAAGCCCCAAACGAAGCCAAAATCCACGAAAAAGTGTCCTTTGTAGACCCTGCCCCAAATGCCCCGTACTGTAAGAAGTTCCTTTGCTGTAAGGTGTTTAAAGAAGTTCCTTTGCTGTACTTCACATTGTAAAGGTCTAGTGGTAATATAACTCACCACGCGCTGTGTTCAGTTTAATTGCAGTTTTCAATGAATTCAAGTCAGTTTCTCAGGTTTGGACCTGACATCCTCGACTTCTGTCAATTTTTAGTTAACGTTGTACCACATCTCGGCATGAAAGGGCATGAACACTATACCATAACAACCATGCACCTGCAAACCGCAAACGAGCCTTCCCCGAAGCTCGCGTGGCCTTCCTGCCTCGTCCGAGGTCGTCCGCTGTTCCGCGTTCGGCCGAGCGGGAGGCCAACTACCAGGCGTTTGCCTCGGACGAGTGCTTGTCAGCCTACTTGGCCAAGACTGGCTCCACCAGCAGCAGCGGTCCGTGCCTTCGGTACTGAAAGCTGGTGACGTTCTTGAATTTCCCCAGACACTCCATGTATGCCATATATGCCTACAGTGATCCCCAAAACCACCCCAATGTAGGCATATATGGCAGTCCCATGGAGTGTCTGGGTTTTGTTTGGTAAGTATAGGGGCTGCCTGGCATGTCGGACGTCGTGTTTTCGGACGTCGTGCTCTCTTTCCAGCGCTAGCTTTACCATTTCACGGAGAACCACACAAAAAAAAAAAAAAAACATCCATTGCGGCAGGACGGACCACATCGGACTCCAACCCATTTCAACCACCGCAGGGGTCCAATCCGAACGGTTCCCGTGTTGGAGCGGACCACGGTCGAACCGAACCGGTCCGGCGCCCGGAAACGCCGACCGTCCCCGGGACGAACGGAGAAGTTCCGTTGGTCGTTCGGTTCTTTCTGGGCGAAGCTGTGAGGTCACGGCAGGCGGAGAAGTCGCGTGCCTTGGAGTGGAGATAGATCGTGTGGAGGGGAGTTGTGGGTCCAAGAGGCCCAGGTGAAGAGGGTCCGTGCGTTGGAAGTGTGCATTTGTCTGAGCTCCAGTGGAGGCCCTCTTAATCGGCCGCCAGGAAGTGTCGGGCAAGAAAAAGAACAACACCGAGTCTCCGAAGAACGAAGGGAAAGAACGTCGAGAAGTCGCCGTTTGGAAAGAAGGGGTCGCAAACAAGACCATAAATATCACACCCTATAGGGCTCCAGTCGTTCTCCTCAGAAGGTATTTGGACTCTCTAAACCCACTCCAAACACCTTCTATATCACATCTAAGAATTTACATGGGCACATCTTCTTCTCCTGTGCCCCGCAGCCTGCGGCGCCCCTAGCGAGGGGTCATCTATTCTGTGAAACGGGAGACTGGATCTAAGCGTCGCGTCGCGTGGCGGCCGCCGACCGGCTCGGTGGATGGACACAGTGCCAGACCAGAGTGACTGGAGTTGCCAGACGGATGGATGGTTTGGAGATGTTTTAAGGGTTGCCCACGAACTGGATGGTCAATAGCAGCTCAAGACCATCCAAGACATGGATGGTTGGGAATATGGTATTGATTATAGTGTTAAGATGCTGTAAGGGTCCATGTAGACTGTAGATTAGTAACCCCTCGCAGGAAGAGGCTTTACAATCCATATGAATGGCGGAGGGATGATCCAGGTCCAGGTCATGTTTTCAGGTCAATGGGCCTCTCAAAAACCTCATAGCTTGTTCAATGCATCATGTGGGTGATTCCGAAACCCATGAGTCCAGAGAAGATCAGGGTGTGGTGGATGGTCCGAGCAGAGGGAGACGACCCGACGTCGGATCGGATGAGGATCTGGGGAACCGGGTTCCTGGGCGAAGCACCGACTCTGGCATCGCAAGAAAACCCAAGACCCAGACACGACCTGTCTGGGACTGCCATAGGACTGCCAATCAGGCCAGACCCCCAGTCAACCACCCCTGGCCTGATCGGCAGTCCTAGGGCAGTCCCATTAGTCGTGTTTGGGTTAGATGAATACCCTTCTGGTGAATCATTAATGTTCCGGTTCCTGGGCAGAGACGCTCTGTCGGTTGCTTTGAGCGACACTGTGGAGGTTTGCAGGCCCTGTTGAAGGACTTCGCAAAGAGTGCCACCAACGCTGGCTGCCCGTGTGCACCTGGGCTAGGGGACTGGGCAGATGGCCTGCAGGGAACCTGAGACGTCAAACTCAAACGACGTCGCTTAGGAATTCAATCGAGCTCTCTCTCTCTCTCTCCCAGCCGCAAGTCTTCCAGAATGGTCTCTGAGAAGAACAACGAAGGGTCTCTAAAGCTTCAAACACCTTTTGCCTTTTTGGAGAACTTGGGAAAGCGTAAAAAAAAACCGGCGTAAGAAGTACACTGTTGTCCCGTTCCCAGATATCCGAACACCAAAATGGGTACCGGAACACGGTGTTCGGAACATGCTCTGCTCCGGCCTTCCACGGAGTCGCTCCGCAGATCGGAGTCGCAAACCACTTCCCGGTCGACCGGCGACCAAAAGGACGAGTCTAAGAAAGGGGATCCTATCCCAGACCGGGACTGGCATATGATCAGGCCAGGGGTGGTTGTTTCAGGCAGGCTGTGTAGATCTTAGATGCAGTGTTTGGGTAGCCTATGACGTTTGGGCAGCCCATACCAGAGCACCCCCTGTTTGGTTTTTGATAGCTCTTTAGAGGTTAAGGGATCTCCACAAACCACGCGACCCCCGAAGCCATCATACACATCCTTCAGTAATGATCAGGGCAGCTTCACCGTAGTTCTAACTAACGCGCCACGAGTGCTTGTCCTTGTGCCAGTGTTTATCGAACTTTCTGACAAGAGTAGAATAGCTGTAATCAAAATCATGCGCAACCAAATCCAGCATTGGTGCCCCCCACGCACTTGAAGATCAAACAGAACAAACTAAATGCTAGCGTGTGATCCAGGTCTGGTCGTGTTTCTCTCATTCGCCACCACGCACCCAGGTATACTTCAAAGAAGGCACCTGGGAGCGTGCGGACCGTGCACTCTATCGCATGGACAACCTTCTGCAGACCTTGATGTTGATCAGCGGTCAGGCACTGAAACGTGGGTCAAGCAGGACGCGGCCGTGCTCGGTGAAAAGACCATTTTGGAACCAATGGAGATAGAGACATGTATCATGTTTATTTTTGTGTATACCAGAGACTCCAAGTGCACCAAAATTTCTGCCACCTCAGCAAAAGCGCCTTTACCCGTAATTTGCCCTGAAAAGGTGCATTTGGCGTAATTTTCTAAAACCAAGATAGACTCGGCGTTTTTGGTTTTTGAGGTTCTTGAACATATTAATTGGTTTATTCGATGCAGAACCAATCTGAATTACAAAAAAGTATTGATAACTCGGCTCGACAATCCTCTATAGGGGTTCAAATACCTGGTGAACCAGGCATTCTTGAGGTGCGCCCTGGCTGTTCACGCCCAGTGTTTTTCTTCAGTAGTTCCTAACTCTTGCCAAGCATTGTTGGCTTACGGATTCATTGTAAAACTCAAATCCAGCCTTGGATCCGATCAAGGAAACCGTTTATTAAAATTACAGAAATGAGAAGGCCCGGGGGAAATGCTTAAATGGTTCTGTGGCCCGACGCAACCTTCTGCTCTGATTTCCCATTACAGTGGCACAAAGCTGCTGAACATACCTGGTGAATGGAGAGATTTAATTCCATCACCAAGGTGAAAGTTAGAAGACTGTGCATTGACCATGCATAATTCAACATAAACTCACCGTGAACCAATCGGATCGGGCACCCTTGCGTGAAATCGTCTCAGAATGTCTCAGCCAAGTTGCTCACAGTTTTCAATCGTTTTGTCATCCCTAGATTTCGGCGTAATTGCCCGATAATTCGGCGTAAATCCACGACAATTTGGCGTAATTCCCCGACAATTCGGCGCAATTGTCCATAACCATGTTTTTGCCTTGTTGGGGTTCCTATGTATGAATCAACATCTTGGATGGCTGCACTGGAAAGATCTTTTTGTTGACCCAATTGTGGATTGCAGCTGTTCTGCCACCACCCTTGTCAAGGGAGGTTGGATCATGAAAGGGTAAAGCATTCTTTGGAGAGTGATCCGGAGAAGCAAAGACAGAACTTGGCTTGCCTGGATTGGCCTTTCAAGAAAACAGTAGGGGCAATATCAAGGAGGTCCGGAAAACCCCTCCAAGGCGCATAGACTTAGACAAACATTGTTGGATCACTTTTAAGTGTGTTCTTTGTAAGCACTCCCAAACTGTGGATTAAATATCTCTGTCCCCAGGTGCAAGGATTCCAAGGTATCCAAACTGTGGATGCCAATCCCTCGGTCCTCACATGTAAGCCCAAACTGTGAATGGTCACCCTGTGGTTTGGTTTGGGAAAGGGCTGGGAAGGGCTTGGTAAGACTGGCAAGATCTCTCAATTGCTGGTTTGAGAATCTAGCAAATGAAAACCATTAAAGTCGGCAGTTGTCATATTCCTCGGCGTTTTTTGTTGGACTCGGCGCTTTTCGATGAATTTGGCTGAAATCAGGGCACAATGGCGTCTCGGCAAAAATTTCTGCCAACGGTTCCTCTATATTGTACATGTATTGTGCCTTATTTGGTGTGTTTTTGCCACGTTACTTGTTCGGAGATTTGGTGGGACAACAGCACGCGGTTGGTCGTTTTGCATCGAACACTCAGTGGGTATGTTCCATTTGGTCGCGCATTCTTGATGTGTATGTCACGGAGCTTTGGGGTGGTGGTCCAGGTGCTTGCATGCGTCGTTTAGAGGACCGCACCGCACTACCCGGGTGCGAGTTCTGCTCGCACGCCCCACGCTAAAGCCAGTCTAAGTTTTCCCGGCGGCTCCGGGAAAAGCGAGTTGGAATCTGATCAGATGACTTGAAATCTCCATGTGGGGTGGGCAAGATGCTTGCATTTGTACCATCTATGATCATCTATGTTTTAAAATCTGTTTGGATCATATATTGCTTTACATGAGGTTTGTTTACTTAGATGTGCTGACGCATCAGGTTCGCTTTTCTGGGTTTGCGCCACCCCCGGCATTGACAGACTATTGACAGCAGAGTGTTTGCAGCAGAGTGCTTCTTCACCGCTTCCAGTGTCAACTGAGTGACGCACGGTCAAGATGGAAGGAAGGTTGACACTTCTTGATCAGATGGAAGGAAGATTGACACTTTTTCGCTTGTGCGCACTCTCGGGGAGATTGGAACCACAAAGCAAAGGTTGCAGGAAACGGTGAAGTCCAGGTCAACACTGGCCTTGTGGATCAATTGTGGGATGATGTATACAAATGGCTTGTTGTGGCGCTATGTGCACCGGGTAGCTTCGGACACCTGGTCAAGCTGCGAATGACCGTAGACAAAAGCCCTATGCACAGTTGGACCAAGCTCTCACTGCTTGAAGCGGGCGGGCGCGAAAACACTCACTGTCTCAAGTCGGGTGCATTGTTAATATGTTGTATAATTTTTTTTTCGTATTCGGGTTGACAAGGAATGACAGGTCTTTGAGAACTTGGGGGGGCACTTTCCAAAAGTTCCGACTGGTACTCTTACATTCGGTGATCACTGGAGGTTTCCCTGAAAAAATCGGCGGTGTTTGGGGCGGCGCTTTGTTTTGTGGATTCCTCTCCGAAGGTTTGCCTTGTCTGTCTCGGCCGAAGCGCGTTCCAGCAAACTATAGGTTTTTGTGGTTTCAAAGTGGACTGCGCAATCCGCCCGAGGTTGTTTTTCGGACCTCCATATATTTGTATGCTCTGAGACCACTGTACTCAACAAAAGCAGATAAAGACCTGAGGCGGCCCCTGCAATGATATTGGCTTGTTTAGGGACATCTTCGGCCCGGAAAATGATGATTTGTAGAGTTGCCCCTACCAGTTCTGCAGGCCGATTGGTTCCATAGACTTGGACGGCCTTGTTTGTTTTCTGTAGGGCGGCGAGTAGGGGGGGGAGAATGCGGTGCCCAGTTCATCCATTGCACGTGAGATTCATCGACCTTGCTGGGATCCTCAACGGGTCTTCCTGCGCTGGGCCCACCGCCTTCCGTCACCCCGCGCCGCAGGGCCCACAGCAGCTGGAAGTCACATGTCCGATCACCGCCATTGAGGAGCATGCAGCATGTTGTTGCTGAGTGGAACCCCTGGTTCGGTAAAGGCTACTGAATCAAGGCGGGTGGTTTTTTGGGGAAAGTACGTGGCCCGGTCCAAAAGTTTGTTGCGCTTCGGCGGAAGGTCAACCGTTGAGCAATGACATTCATGTTCCACGGACACTGAAGGGTCAGCGGCGCTTTTATACTTTAAAGGTGCACATCACCCACACCCAGCCAATGGAGAACACACCTACATGATCCTACATGGGCATGCGATCGAACGCAATTCTGCGGCGAAATGGTGGAATTTTGCTAACGTTTGAACATGTTGAACTCCCTGAAAATCATGAAGCCAGGAACATCAACAGCAATCACATTTTGAATCATGAAACGGTTCCAACCATGCAACCCAAACCATGAAATGAAACGTCATTAGCCATATTTATACATAGATTCATCCAATATTTCAACCATGAAACTTGAACATGCTGGAACCCCATGGAACCTCCAAGCAGCTTACACTGCCCTAGATGCCAGGGGACACCTGGCACTGTAGAGATGCTTGGGGCTCACTTCTTGGTTTCCATCCGCTCGATGTGTGATTCTTTGCGAGTAACGCCTAATGACTCGTTTTACCTCCTTGGTAGCAGTGGGTTATGACCCTCCGGTGGGAAGAAATTGGAACTGGGAGTTGAATCATTTCAGTAACGATCCCCTACAGGTCCAAAGACCCTTATAAAACTTGATATACCAGGGGTCACAAGACGAGGTGGTGTTTGGTCCCATCCAGTGAGTAGCTGGGCACCCCGACTACCTCCGGTCGTTCGGCACCCCGTAGACTGTGACTCCTGGTACTTGACCTGATCGACTTTCCCGACCTGTAAGGCGATCCGTCCTTCGTCGCCCCCTGGCCCCGAATCTGTGAATGCGCTGTGGAGATGGTAAAGCATATATTGTAGAGGCGGGGGACTCTCTTGCAAGGGGCCACCTGTCAGTTTCAGGGGATCATGCCCCATGATGCCCTGTCTGACCAATCCAATCCGACCACCCCCGGGTTGCTCGCAGGACATTTATTGCATGGCCGACGCTCGGCTGCGTCAAGCGGTCCCGGAGCATCCGGAACCGGATGTCCTCGGACCCAATGGGATTGGATTGAGTGTTTGGGGTGATCTGCCGGGTCCTGGCCACAGGAGTATAGACTATTGCATATGAGTCAGAGACACAACTATCGTCATGTAGTTCTTACTGGGGTGTTGGTGTTTTCCTCGAAAAACGATAGGGGACGTCCTAAAACGATACCTCCAAGACTTGCATTTGCATCCAGTGATATGGACAGATGCATTTGGCGCCGTATGTTGAAACCACCAAGCACGAAGAAACGTGTTCTGAAACCCGAATATTTCTGAAAGACCAGCGCCGCCTTCCAAGGAAGACGGACCGAGTTACTTCCCTCCAGAGGTTGTGGCAGCCCTCACGCCGGAGGAGAGAAGTCTGACAAGATGTCGGGTGGTCGAGTGGAAACAGCTCAGGAGAGCCAGCATGGGTGCTTTGAAGAGATGTTCAGCTACACATGCTTTTTTCCACATCCATATGCCATGGCCCCCTGTTTGGGGTGTTTATTTATTGTCCCGAAAAGAGGCCAAGGAGTGTCTATGAACGCCTGTGGGTCCTGGTGTTGTTTTGCTTGTTGGAGAGAGGGTAGAGGGAGTACAAGAGGGAAGTCGGTGTTTCAGAGTCTCATCCTGTTCCTCAACGATCTCCATCCAGCAACGAACTCCAGGTCTTGCCATCGTTACGACGCCAGCTGTTCTTCCAAAGGCCAGGCCCTTCCTAAGACTTGGAGACCGAAACCTAAGTCCAGTGCTTCGCCAGCGTTTTGGCCTTTGGACCAATTTGTTTGGCAGGCCCAGGTAGCCCCTAAAAGCGCTAAAAGTGTTTTTTGTTTTTTCCAAAGGTATGCTGCTCCCAAAACCTCCTTGAGGATTGGACTGGGATGGACTGGGGTTTTCAGGGTCTAACTGTGTCTATACTGTACTAATTCTCCCCGACATGTTGCCGCCCCCCAGTGGATTTCACGCCACACATCATCTGGACTGGATCAGGTGGATCCCAGGCAAACCACCATATAAGGAACCAGGGTTTCTAGTCTTTGGAACGTTGCCAGCTCTATATAGTCGTAACTGGATGCCCTGGGACTGCCAGGAGAAGGAACAGCTTTTGATGATCGTCTTCAGCGACGCGGACGCCAAATTCGTCCGGCTTTGCTTGGCACAAGCGCCTCGATTCCATACGACCCATCCGTGGGACCCGGCTCTACAGGTTAGACCAAGGGCTTCAAGCTGGGGTCCAACAACAAACCCTCAGCGATCATCATCTTCCTGTTGGAGGGTGCTTAGTTGGGGAGGATTCTGGGAGAGTGCAGGGTTGGATCGGGATGAGGCAGGCGAGTGATGATTGACTGAGGTGGCGGAATTCATGTGTTTTTTTGGAAGGATGGAATTAAGTGGAGAAAAGGGTCCGCCATGAGGGTCAGCTAGCCTCTTGCCGTGCATGAAGACGGAGCAGACAAGGGGGACCAGACCAGCAGGATTCAGTGATGTGACTTGGGTTTGCATGTGCCACTAGGTCTCCAAAATGAAGGACTACAATCATACTATGGCGTACCGTGTGCAGTATCCAGGAGCCTCCAAGAGGTCAAGCCTTGGGGCCGTAGGACAATTTGGAAGGGCTGTGGCTGTGGAGAAGATTAGAGTCGAGAAGGTCAAAGAAGAACGCATAGTCTCGGTTCAGGGGTTGTTTTGTTTTAGAGCGAGACGTGTTTTCAACATGATGGAAGGGCACATGGAACATAACACAATTACAAAAGGATACTTGGAATGTTGAATCTTAAATGGAAACATGATAAACATGTTGAAACTCAACACTGACTTGGTTTCAGAGTAGATGGTAGAAACGCCAAGCTGCTTTTTCATAGATGTGCATATATATACCACCTTCTTGGAGGCTGTGCCATCTATTCTCCATCCACGTCCTCGGCCGTTGAAGCCTTGACATCACGTCGTCGGTGGTCTGTTGTTGTGCGACGGTGACGAGCCTGGAAGAATCATTGTTACACCCGGGAAGAGGCCCACATGGAGCCAGGCTCGACGTGGATCTTTCATGTTATGTCTGCCAGACAAACAAAAATAAACACTAGCAAAACAAAGAGCCTAGAAAGCAAAAAAGAAAAGAAAGTGCAACCAAAAAAGCACAAGCAAAACAAAGAGGTCCCTAAGGTTTCTGCACTCAGCCGGGCTTTCTGGCGCACTTTTCTGAAGGGTCCACTTTCTGGTGCACTTTTTTGGGAGGGTCCACTTTCTGGTGCACTTCTGGTCGCTCTTTTTTCGCTTGTGTTTTTTCCACCAAAAAAAAGCACGAAAAACGAGCAAACAAAAGCGAAAAAAGAGTGACCAAAAGTGCACCAGAAAGTGGTCCCTCCCAAAAAAGTGCGCCAGAAAGTGGACTCTTCCGAAAAGTGCACCAGAAAGCCCGGCTGTGCTTTTTTGGTTGCACCTTCTTATTGTTTGCTTTCTTGGTTGCTCTTTGTTTTGTTTTTTTGTTGCACATGTTTTTTTTCGTTATGTTTTTTGTTATTTGCTTTCTTGGTTGCTTTTTGTCTTGCTAGTGCTTTTTTGGTTGCACTTTTTTTTAACTTTTTGGTTGCCCTTTGTTTTGCTAGTATACATGTTTTGGTTACACTGTGTTGCTTTCTTTTTGCTTTCTCGGTTGCTCTTTGTTTTGCTAGTGTTTTTTGTTTTTTTT